GGGTCGCGCTCGTCCAGCCGGGGAAGTGGCGGGGGCGGCCGGTCGCCCAGCCAGAGCCCCGGCCCGCCGCCGCTGACGTTTGGGGCCCCGCCGGGGTCCAGCCCGGACCTCGCCCTGCTACAGCAGCAGCAGCAACAGGCGTTCCAGCACCAGCGAACCCCGCCGCCGCAGCAGCAGCAGCAGCAGCAGGGTGACGGCGCCGTGTCCATGGCGAGGTCGGGCTCATCGCCGGGCCTGCGGCTGGACGACGGGCGCTTCGTCAAGTTTGGCGAGCACTCGATCGACATCCGCGCGAGCCGCGAGCGGCTACGGCAGGCTCGGGAGGCGGCGGGCGAGAGGTGAAGAAGGCGGGGGAGCGGTGTCAGGCAGGGGGTGGCGGGTGGCGGCGGTTGAGGACAATGATACAGCTCGAAGTGTTGGAACTCGTGGAAATCTCGCCAAGGATCCTGGCTTGTCGTTCACTTTTGCCGTCACTAAAAGTTCCGTTCTTCTCGTCTCGTCACTACCTAATTAGCATTTACAGCTCAGATTATTAGCACTTGGTAGATTCAGCCAGCTTAATATGCATATACATTCGCGAAATTACTTGTGGCATATAACCCGTTCGTTCGTCCTTGCAATCTCCCCCAACTAGAAAGGCTTATTCCCCCGTTTCTTATGCCATGTGGTGGACAAAAAGCAAAAAGAAATCGGATCCACATACAACACCGGGGATTCGCTGGTCGTCACCGACCCAACTACTAGTCCGGCGGTCAGGGGTTTAACTCGGGGAGAGCGGACGGGATCCCGTGTTTTCCTCCTTCCTATGGTCGTATGTGGTGGCTAATGCCAGCCCCCTTGGCACAAAAGCTCCCGTGGGGTCACCAGCTCCGGCAGCCCGGTTGCCAGACGACCAGGATTGTAAACGGCAACACAAATTACCACCCTTGCAAGCTCCTATTACTATTATTGGAAGTTCCCGTAGACAAGACATTACATGGAAAGCTATGAAAAGCAAGAGTACTGAAATAATAGGCCAGTAACCCGAGCATCTTGATTTATGTATAGATATGTATATCTCCGCATGAGTCTTCGTATGCGACAATCTTCCGGCCTTACTGACATGCCTGGACATGAAGGAAAAAGAGAAGAAAAAAGGATATGAAAACTCCCCGCGAGCCCTTCGGCGGGTTTAGAGTGAGCGTTCTGGGTCAGACACGAGGGCTAGATCACCGTGCAGATGAAGAGATACCTAGAAAGCCAACAATCATGAGAGATGCAACATTAAAGCCATGCACTATCCAACCGCACATATTCCTTGTACGTAAGTGCCATGCAGAATTGGGGGTAGCCGAAGAAAGAGTTAAAAAAGAATGAGGGCATGAGGATCCAGAACGGAACCCCGCAAAGTCCGAGGCACTCTGGGGTGCTGTTTAGAAAGAGCGTCAAGGCCACTGATGGGCCTTGGAAGCCAGATCTTCTCAGCCATTTGTCCCAGAACCATGGAGGGAACTCAAGATAAAAATGATCAACAAAACACGCAGGTTAGCAAGAGCCCGCAGCAATACTCCCAAGACACCCCTCTCTATTGTGACCAAATGAAACTCTATACGCAAGAGAAAACGGGGGGAAGCCAGACAACAAAAAAATGCAAGGGCTGGCAGATATTGAAAAAAAAAAAGGATTCAAGACAGGGAGGAGATCAAGAAGCAAGGACTCTGGTCTCACGCTAGCTAGATGGAAGCAACTCTCGTCAGGGCTTGGCCGTCTCTGCAGCCGAGTCCACCTCGGTTGCATCCTCAGACTTTGCCGGGGCGCCCACGATGTCGGCAATGTTCCAGTCGGCCTTTTGGGCCCTCTCGAGCACAGCCCGGCCCTTCTCGGTGAGCTGGGGCTTGCCGCCCTTGTCGGTGACTTCGACAAAGAATGCCGGCTGCCAAACCTCGCCGGTGCGCTCGCGCTCGCGAGCCTTTTCGCGCTGCTTCTCCTCGAGCTCGACCTTGACCGTGGTCGCCTTGGAGAACTGCTTGGAATGGATCGCCTCGGTGACGCCGCCCCACAGCTGCAACGACTCGTTCTCGAGCTGCATGCTGTCCGGCGGGAGAGACTTTGGCGCCACGCTCAGCGGAGCGATGTCGATTATGGTGTTCTGCTTCTCGGGTGGATGCGAAGCCTGAAAGCAGCTTCTGTCAGATCCCTATACATGTGGAAACTCTCCCTGCGGCCATGACTGTTTCTAGGTGGTTACTTACCACAGGTTTGGGGCCCAGCGTAAAGACGACCTTCTCCTTCCAAGGGCCCTTGAGTCTGACAAGGACATCTTCGTCGGGGACGTCCTTGATGTTGACCTTGTCGTCGTTTTCTGGGTCGTAGCGGAAGATGACGCCCTCGACCGTGTTCGTAGAGCGGCCTAGCCAACCCTCGTCGAAGTAGCGCAAGATTGCCTTGAGCTTGGTCTTTGGGCAGGAGATGTAGCACATGTCACCCACGCTCACGCTGAGGGCACCGCGCAGGATGCCGCCGAGGTGAGCAGCGGGGTGTGTGAGCTGGTACGTCTCGTCGCCGCGCTTCTCGAGCGTGACAAATATTCCCAGGTTGTGCTCGCCGGGCATGACCTTGATCGAGGTGCCCGTAAACCTGGCCGTGATCTGGTCGAAGCCGCGGGCGTGCAGGCCCTTTTGGGGGCAGCTGATGTAGAAGGCGCTCACAGGCGGGTGGTGCGAGGTCTGCTCCGTCAGGTACGAGACGCGCACGACGGGGTTGGCGGGGTTGGTGCCCGTCTGCTGAACCGAGAGGTTGGAGGCGGCGCGCGAGTCGGCAAGGACGCCGAGGGCCGAGGACGCGGCGGTGGGCTTGCCGGAGCGGAGGCTGGAGGCGCCGGAGCCCGGGCGGCTGGGGTCGGGGGTTCCGCCCAAGGCCTTGGTGTCGATCCTGGGGGCATTATCCTCGGCCTCCCAGTTGCAGCGGAAGAACTCGCCCAGGCACGAGTTGTAGGGCTTGCATGGGCGGCCCTTGGCGTACTTGAGGTCCTTTGTGAACCAGAAGCGCATAACCTCGAGCATGCGGTCGACGGGCTCGTCCGACGTACCGATGGCGATGAAGGTGTTGGGGGCATCGAGGTAGTTCCAGTATTCGAGGTTCGGCGTCGGCTCGAGAAGCTGCGAAGGGAGCGAGAATCTCACGGCGGCGAGGTCCGCCACGCCGATGAACCTGGGAAGCCCCCGACGTCAGCCACTGTCGACCCCTGCAAGCCTGCTGGGACAGGCGCCAAAACGACGGCCGAGGGCCACGAGAATCGACACGCATCCGCGTCTAGCGCAGCTGTCGGTATGCGGGCTTTGACTGGACATCTTCATTCCTGCTCGACTTTGCCACCTTTTCCTCTTCTCTTTTTTTGCTTCTTTTGCATCTTGCGGTCTGGCTGGCTGCTTGACTCGAACAGGTCGGTGCGGGGTTGCGTAGGACGACCCCTTTTTCATTTCGATGCTGGCCGTGTTCGACCAAGAAACAATCCAAAAAAAAAGGGTAACCAAATTCTAAGACACAGCCGGCAGAAATACTCACTTCTTCAGAATGCCGATAAACGTTTTTAGCTTAGAGCCGTCGCTCGGGGGCTCCTCGGGGGCCACATGGTCCGCCGCCGTCGATGCCATCCCAGGCAAAATCGACACCGACCTTGAAATTCCTTGTCAAAGTCTCGGGGCTTGGCTGGACCAGGAAGGAGAGAGCGAAAAAGAAAAAAAAAAAGATCGTAAAGAAACCGGGCGGGAAGTTGCTCGGCGAGCGCCTTGTCCAGCGGCAGCGGCAGCAGCAGAAGCAGAGGGGCGGAAGGCGCAGCCTAAGACAGAGGAGTGGCAAGCAAACCGAGATTATGTCCGTCTTCAGTCTGTCAAGGACGGTCAAGCACTTTGGCTGGGTTTTGGCATTTCCTCTGGGCCTTGGGTCCGATGACCGCCCGCGCGGCGTCCCCCTGTCAGACGACGCACGATAAGGCGCGATAAGGACGGGCCGAGGCGCCTGTTCGTATTGGGCTTAGCTTGCTTCGGAGGTGCAGGCAAACGACGGCAGAGTTCACGACGAGGCGCAACTGGTTCCCCAAACCAAACAAAATGGCTTCTTTTGTGACCAATTCTTTGCGGCGCACAGGCGGGAGGGCACCGAGACGCAGCTTCTTTTCAACCAACGCGCTGACCCAACACGAACAGTTACTTTGCTTTCACATGGGGCGGTGACAGTTTGGGCACCCTAATTCGTTGAGCTCATCATCGAATCCGATCTGACGCTCCAATCATTTGCCCACGCGCCCGAGCCGAACGATCTGACCAGTCTGAACCGGCCCGCCGCATCGCCGAGGGCCATGCCAGACCTGCCCGCATGGGCAGCGGTAGCTCCCCAAACGGCCCGCCAGTCCAGACTATTCCGAGCCCCCGTGACGGGCGCCGGTGGACGCGGCCCGCTACCTTCCTTCACCGTTATTCCTCCATGGTCAGCCTCGGGACCAACAACGCCGGCCCCCATCCATTGCTTCTACTTCTAACCGGCTCTTAGCGGATAATGAAACCTGCCGCACAGCGTGCTCCTCGTCTTTCCACCAGCACATGCGTCTTTCTAGGAGATCAAGCCGAACCCGGGTTTCGGGCTAGAAAGGCACGGCGGGTGTCTAGGCACATACCGAGGTTGGCCGTGTCTTAGCAGCCCATGCACAGAGACATGCATGGACCCCTCATGCCTTTGTCGCAAGCCGCAACCCAAAAGTCTCCGAGACACAAACTTCGGTTTCTTGCACTCAGGTACTGAGCATCTGGGTACCGAGCACCAATGTACCTTTTTCTTCTCTCATGTTTGGGTATTCCCGGGACACTCATATCGGCCGAGGTTGCGTTTTGGGGAGGTGAGCTCTGCCGTAATTCCCTGCTGTCGTTGATGCCCTAGGATCGAAAGGGAAATGGTAGCCGACACGGCAGATGATAAGAGTCTGCACTTCCCTGATTTGGGATCGCTCTATCATTTTTCGGATGCCTAAGCTGGCGGTGGCCAAGGGGCGTGGCCCGGCTTTCCAGCCGGAGTCGGGGCCGCCGGCCGGGATGGATGGAGCAGCCCTGGACGGCAGACCGGCGGCAATACGAGCACGGCCTGGGAGGGGTGTGGTAGGGGGCGCGCGGCCGACGACCTCCCTCGCCGCTCCCATCCATGCACAAGTTCGGCGCAATGCCATGCGCCTTTCGGTGGCGAACCCGACGGCCGTTCTTCCCGCAATCCCGGCGGCTCGTCCGTCTGCAACCTTTTTTTTTCTTTTTTTTTCTTGTTCTTTTTGGGCTTCGGTGTCGAACCGTGTCGGATCGTCTCAAAGCCATAGCAGTCCAAAGTCCACGGTCCGGCCCCCTACCTAGTCAGGCTCGAAACTTTTACAGTAAGAGTCAGGCCGATCGTTGGGGGAGAGTCTGTCACGGTACCCAGTACGGCGCTTCGGTTCTGCTTACGGTGCGCGATTGAGCTTCGATTTCCCCCTCCTATTCACGAAAATAGCCAGATTTTCTCAAGGAACAGTCCCTCTGCAGCCTACAGGCAGAGACGGGCAACAACGGGGCAGCTGGGGCCTGTTCCCAATCTTGCCGTGCTTGTCCCCCTTGGGGTAGGAGAATCGTTCGAATCTCGGTAAGGTCGAACAGCCCACCACGCAGTGCGAGCTTTGGAGGTTACTCGCCCGCCCACCAGGCACCCTCTTCCTGGCAGCGATCAGCGCTGGCTGCACCACCACGCAATGACTCAAAGGCGTCCCAAGTGAGGCTTGCAGTAGGTGATCGGCGCCGTCCTTCGTTTTAACGGTTGGTCAGTATGAGCGAAAGCGGCAGGCGTGCGCGTCCCCCCAAGCCTCCGGCGCATGCTGTCAGCTTTTGTCAAATAACAGGTCTGTTGGGGGGGAGCACGGCGCGTTCCACAACATATGGCGTCGGGCCAAATCACGTTGGCGGCTTGCGTCCTTCCCAAACAAACCCCCCTTCATGCCGCTTCCACTAGCCGCGCTGGACCCTGAGCCGGGCTGTGGTCGAAAGGGAGGGTCAGGGGAAAGACTCGGCAGAGAGCTGACAGGAAAAGAAAGAAAAAAGTTGGACAGGTCCCTGCATGAGCTCGCCCGTGGCCCGCTGATCGTCACGAAAACTGCCTGCATCAGGCAAGCCATCCGGGATCAAATCGATGGCTACCTAAGTAGCCCTAGCATCGGGGTCCCCATCCCTCTTCGGATGGTACTGTACTGTACCTCGCTAGCGTGAGGGGTCGAGGGGTTGAGGGGTCGTTTTCCAATGGCTCAGTTCGAACAGCTTGCATTTATTTTATTTTACGCTGATGATGCAAACATGTTACCCGGCATGTATCCCGGGTGGGAGCGGCCATCAAAGCACAGCCCACACGAGGTAACACTGAATGGGGGCCGACACTTTGGAATCGACCCGTATGTAACCGTAACTGCTCCCTCGCGTGCCAGTGACTGACTTTTACTGCAGCATGGCCATTAGCCGTTCCCATTGGCGGCCGTGAACCCCGACGTCCATTTTTATGGGGTTGCCTTCCTGTTACGTTCCTGGGGACTTGTGCGCAATAGACGCCCACCTAGCTCGCGTGGTCACCTCGGTATCAATACCCAGGGTCCCTCGAGGCTCAGCGGGCTCTGTAGGTATTTCTCACTATACAGTACGAAAGCCATGGCAATCCGGGGTTTGTAACCTCAAAAGACAGGCGATTCTGAATCATGGCCTCGTGGCTGGGAGCAGAAATAGAACAATGGGTCGAATCAACGAACGGCGTTCGGAGCTCCCGCGCACAGCTTCACGGGACAGGACCCCCGACCCCACGAGCCATTCCCTGCTTGCCCAGTTCAGAGCCGGCACTTGTCGAGAGTGACGTCTCGTGTCCCCCGATCTTCCAAGACTTCTCCGCTTCGAAATTCGAAAGGGGTTTGAGAGCACGGACCACGAAGCACTGAGGCGAGATAGATTTTATTTTAACCATGGGCCCCATCCGGGAAAAAAAGAGGGGAAGCCTTCGTGTCCCGAGTGGCGACGCAACACAGCAGAGAAGGAATGCGACAAGCTGTCACATGGAAAATGGACCCCTCAAGGCGAATTGGGATGTCGGTGAGCTTGTCTGCACGGCCAACCCCCCGAAGTCTAGATATCCCCGACCCCGGTGAAGGGCGGATATCCAGACGGCCCGGTGTCGGCGTTGACGTTGCTTTGCCCCCTTGGAGCACGACACGCAGCGCCTCGCCTACCGGATTGGCGGAACCGACTTTGACGTCGGCAAAGGTGCCAGTGGTAAATGGCGGGCTTCATCCCCTCTGCCTGTCACCCTACCTGCCGAGATCAACGGTCAATGAGTCAAAATCACAGCAAGACACATGTACATACGTGCCTACCACGAGCAGGGGAGAAGACATCGGCCCTGTGAGTGCGTGACCCCTTTCCCCTCGGTGGTGGGAGCGGGAACAAGGGTCAGGGACCGACGACGGGGTGTTGCAAGTTTCCCCGCTAGCAAAAAGCCACTATGACATCACTGTGGGGTGCGCCATTGCATCCTGGGTGGGTACCACCATTAGGAGCATGCTCCTCTGCGTTTCCTTGGTGTGGGAATGTGGGTTGCTGCCAGCAAATACTGATGAGAACCGCCTACACAGCCACACGGGACGTGCGTTTGCGATACCGGGGGAAAGCAGGAACGTGGGTTGGATGGATACAATGAGAATTTTGGGTGGGACTGTGGCACCGACATCCAGAGGGAGGGAGAGGTGTGTGCGCCAAGGGAGCGAAGGCCGCCGCTGGGTGTTGCATCCCAGCCGTCGATAGGCCAGCCTGCCGCCGCGGCGTCGTTGGGGGGGCATGCGTCATGTATCCATTCCGGAGGCACGGAGAGCGCGAGGTGGTGTAGGTACAACAACAGCTGGAACGTATTTGCCCGCGGGCGAGATAAGCCGCAGGATGAATGCTGCACAGGTCTCCCCCCTCCCTTTGAGGCCCATCTGCCCACTTTGGAAGCCACCCCTCGCGAGGGCAGAGACCTTCCCGGGAGCTGACGGCGCGGCGCCCGGCATGCGGTCCCGACGCCGGCTCGCAGCTGCGCTCATGCTCAGATGACCGGCGCCCACGTTTCAGATTCGACGGCGCTCGTGGATTTGTCTTGGGCAACCACTGTTTCGAGTCGCCACCAGGCCAGAGCGCCATGCGGGCAATAGGCAGAGAGGCATGCCACGTTTCGCTCGATGGGGTCGGTGCAACCCATCCGAGGTCCATCCCATCAGGTTTACGGAGTAAGCTCTGCTCTGCCTTCTGGGTTTATCTGGGCTCGCATGCTGGCGTCTGGGCGTGAATAGGGAGAAGGGAGAAGGACGACAGCCCCAGTTGAGGGCCCCATGTATGATCACCAGGGGGGAGCGGCAACGGATTGTTGTTTGGGGGCTCCTGAGTGGGCGCTTGAGTGTACCGTCTGCATTGACGTCGCGCTGCGGACTGAGTTCTTGCGCCGACAGAGGCGCCAGGGCGAGTGACGTCACCTGCTGTAATGCCCCAACCGGCCCCCACGTTTGTGGTCCAAACTTCGGTTTTTTTTTTTTGGTTTTTTTTTCCCTTTCCTCGCGGTTGCCTTCCCGTTCCCACTGTGAAACGAGCACCTCGAAGAACATCCGTTGGGCCCCGGCATACCCTTGCCACATGCACAATGCCAACATGGCATCGCGAGACGGGAAAAAAAAAAATTGGACAACGGCCAGCCAGCTCAACCCTAGCCCTATCCTTAGATACAACGGCCGAAAGTATCTCAAATGTCGATGTGGGTGCTGGCAACAGAGCCCTGATTCGTGATCCTAGCCAAGGGGCGTACGCATACCCCCAGCGGCGGCGGGGAGCCACGGGAGCT